AGCTCAGACTGATAAAGACCAGCTCAGACTGATAGAGCCCAGCACAGACTGATAGAGACCGGCACAGACTGATAGAGACCGGCTCAGACTGACAGAGACCAACTAGCTCAGATTGATAAAGACCAGCTCAGACTGATAGAGACCGGCTCAGACTGACAGAGACCAACTAGCTCAGATTGATAAAGACCAGCTCAGACTGATAGAGACCGGCTCAGACTGACAGAGACCAACTAGCTCAGATTGATAAAGACCAGCTCAGACTGATAGAGACCGGCTCAGACTGACAGAGACCAACTAGCTCAGATTGATAAAGACCAGCTCAGACTGATAGAGACCGGCTCAGACTGACAGAGACCAACTAGCTCAGATTGATAAAGACCAGCTCAGACTGATAGAGACCGGCTCAGACTGACAGAGACCAACTAGCTCAGATTGATAAAGACCAGCTCAGACTGATAGAGACCGGCTCAGACTGACAGAGACCAACTAGCTCAGATTGATAAAGACCAGCTCAGACTGATAGAGACCGGCTCAGACTGACAGAGACCAACTAGCTCAGATTGATAAAGACCAGCTCAGACTGATAGAGACCGGCTCAGACTGACAGAGACCAACTAGCTCAGATTGATAAAGACCAGCTCAGACTGATAGAGACCGGCTCAGACTGACAGAGACCAACTAGCTCAGATTGATAAAGACCAGCTCAGACTGATAGAGACCGGCTCAGACTGACAGAGACCAACTAGCTCAGATTGATAAAGACCAGCTCAGACTGATAGAGACCGGCTCAGACTGACAGAGACCAACTAGCTCAGATTGATAAAGACCAGCTCAGACTGATAGAGACCGGCTCAGACTGACAGAGACCAACTAGCTCAGATTGATAAAGACCAGCTCAGACTGATAGAGACCGGCTCAGACTGACAGAGACCAACTAGCTCAGATTGATAAAGACCAGCTCAGACTGATAGAGACCGGCTCAGACTGACAGAGACCAACTAGCTCAGATTGATAAAGACCAGCTCAGACTGATAGAGACCGGCTCAGACTGACAGAGACCAACTAGCTCAGATTGATAAAGACCAGCTCAGACTGATAGAGACCGGCTCAGACTGACAGAGACCAACTAGCTCAGATTGATAAAGACCAGCTCAGACTGATAGAGACCGGCTCAGACTGACAGAGACCAACTAGCTCAGATTGATAAAGACCAGCTCAGACTGATAGAGACCGGCTCAGACTGACAGAGACCAACTAGCTCAGATTGATAAAGACCAGCTCAGACTGATAGAGACCAGCTCAGACTGATAGAGACCAGCACAGAATGACAGAGACCAGCACAGAGTGACAGAGACCGGCTCAGACTGATAGAGTCCAGCAAAGTCTGACAGAGACCGGCTCAGACTGACAGAGATTCAAAGATTCAAAAAACTTTATTATTTATTAACCAGTGATAGAAATTTGTCTTAGGTAAAAGGCTTATATATACACAATACAAAAAACACACACAACAACCAAATCACACTTAATCCACAAAAACACCTCTAAAATAAATGATGTTTTATTAACAAAGTTCGGAAGGAGCACGTTCAGATAATAAACCTAATTAACACGAGAGGAGTACAATCAGTAATCAACCCAATTAACAATTAACCTAAGATACAAGATCCTGTCTAAACTACTTGGCCTTATTTAGAATAGAAATTGCAGTAGGAATAAAATAATTACTATAAGCCTTCCTTCTAGCCAATGGAGTTCTAAACCGACAACCTGATGGGAGAAACAATGCAAAAGATGAGAGGGGGTCAGTAACAATAGAAGCTGCTTTCCTCTTTACAGCACAGTTATAGAGAGCTAAAAGTTGAGACTGTGGGTACCCAATAATTGAAGATGCCTGCCTGATTACTCTTGATAATTTTTTCTTGTTTTTAGCTGAAAGAAAGTTAAACCAAGAAACAATATTAAAGGTTATAACTGATTCCACCAGCTCAGACTGACACACTCACCAGAGCAACAAAGTGCAGAAGGTTGATTCCAGGTTTGTTGGCTTTAGTATCAGCCAATGACAGCAGAGACGAGAGTTTGAAGCCCACGGCGTTACCAGCAGATCCACCCTGACACACAGAGAGAGAGACAGAGAGACAGAGAGACACAGAGACACACACAGAGAGACAGACAGAGAAAGAGAGAGGATCAGTTCATCTGGATGGTTCATATAAAACCAGTGAAAAGTGATCTACCAGTTTGTAGAGTCTCAACTGTACTGGGGTTCCACAGGGCTCAATTTTGGGTCCTGTTCTATTTTCTTTATACATGCTTCCTTTGTATGCTATATTTAAGAGGCACAATGTTTCATACCACTGTTACGCAGATGATACTCAGTGTTATGTTCCCTTGCACACAAAGGATGTCTCCAGTTTACAGTGTCTGTTTGATTGTCTTAGAGATGTTAAACAGTGGATGTCTGTCAACTTCCTTCAGTTAAATGAGTCTAAGACTGAGGTCTTAATTTTTGGCTCCCCTGCTTCTACAGAGGTTGTGGCCAGTAAACTGGGACCTCTATCTGGTAATCTTCATTCACATGTCAGAAACTTAGGCATTACTTTTGACTCTGCTTTGACTTTTGATAAACAGATCAATGCTGTGGTTAGAAGTTGTTTTTATCAGCTAAAGAATATTGCAAAGATGAAGTCATTCTTAACATTAAGAGACATGGAGTCGGTAATACATGCTTTTATCTCATCCAGATTAGATTATTGTAATGTATTGTACTTGGGTGTTTCACAGTCTCTATTGTCACGTCTTCAACTTGTTCAAAATGCTGCCGCTAGATTGTTAACTGGAACAAGGAAGAGGGAACATATTTCACCAGTGATGATCTCTCTCCACTGGCTCCCAGTTAAATATCGTATCCATTTTAAAACACTGTTGTTTGTTTATAAGGGTTTGCATGGACTGGCTCCGTCATATATCTCCGATCTACTTCTGTTCCACTGTAATGCCTCCAGGGAACTTCGATCAACTAGTAGTCTTCAGTTGACTGTTCCAAGGACACGCGTGAAATCGAAAGGAGATCGTGCCTTTTCAGTGGCTGCTCCTCAGCTATGGAACATGTTGCCACCCTATATAAGAACTGCACCAACATACGCTGATTTTAAGTCTCTTCTTAAAACTTATTTATTTACTGTTGCATATGGTCATAAGTAAGCGCAGTGGCATAACTGTAGTGTACTATCTGTCGTGGTGTTCTATGTTTACTTTTGTATTTTGGTATATGCTTAAATTTTGTACAGCACTTTGGCCAACAGCTGTTGTTTTTAAATGTGCTCTATAAATAAAATTGACTGACTGACTGACTGACTGCTGCGTGGGTTCTGGCTTTGTAAATCTAAACTGTAAAAAATCAGTCCCAAAGCTTTGATCAGCAGTGTATGAAATGTGTTGTCAATTTCTCAGCTGCATTCTGAGGGTAATTACATTACATTTATGCAAAAAACAAAAAAGCAAACAATTAAATTAAAAAAAAAATCTAAATGTTAAATTAAAAAAAAATTTTTTTAAATATTGTTTATATTAATCACATTTTTAAAAAAGGTTTACAAAACCTATTCTAAATACAGTTTTAAAAATCACATCTGCTCATGTTTACTTTTGTAATGTGTAAGATTTTCAGTTTTTAACTGATTCGTTTTTTGTTTTTGAGTGTTTTTGTGGTGAATTAAATCCAACTCCGGTCAAGCTGACCCACAACATGATAACAATTACATCACGAATTTTAACATGATACAAAAAAAATATATAAAAAAATATATTTTACACATTTATATTTGTAGCATTTCTGTAGTTTGAACAGTAAATCATTATGCTTACAACGCCATGGTCATGGGTTCAGTTCACAGGAAAAGCATGAACTGATTTAATGTATATCTTAAATGCAATGCAACTCACTAAAAACATTTAGTAAGTGGACTTTGATGTAGTCTTTATTAGTAGCTTGTTATTTGGTTAATGATTTACTGGTTTCAATTTAAAGTAGTTTAACACTGCTATATATATATGACTATGCATGTATTTATATATGCATATGCATGTATTTGTAAATGTGTAAGAGTACCAGACTTACAGCATTCATGATGTTTCCAGCCTGCAGCACTAAATGAAGGACATTGTGAAGCTCCTCACAGCTCAACAGCTCTGTAAACAACAGTTCAGCAGATGAATGTGAAGCTGAAGGTGTTTATACACAGAAAACTGTAAATAGTGATGGATTTTATGGGAACACAACACTGGACTGCTGAAATCAGACACTAACGGAGATCACTTGTTCACCTTTAATGGTGCTCAGGATGATGGTCATGTCATGTTTCATGACGGTGTATGAAGGGAAAAACTCTTCCTTTAACAGCAGAGCCTCGAGACGGACCTCATACCTGCAGAAACGCAGAAGAACCAGCTCAAATTAGATCTGGACCAGACCGGATCACTGCCACAAACACTGACAGCCCGTTTCCATCGTACCTGGGTAAATGGATGAGCTTGTGTATGAAAGCATCAGGCGGCGCCAGGTCTTTAGGATTCCCATTGAATATCTGAAGATTCTTCACCTGTCAACCAACCAATCAATCAATCAGTCATGAAGCAATCCTCTGCTTAAAGGTGACGTATCATGCAAGTCTGACTTTTCCAGGTGTTAAGGGCTATAAT